GCATTTAGACAAGAGCCAGTGCCCCTTGAAGCTATTTTTTTCAAAATTCGAATCAGATTTTTTTTTTTTTATTTTATCTTTTTCGATGAAATCGCATCATTTTGAATGGTTTTATTCTTTTAGAAATGTGGTTTTGGCAACAGTTTTACATTCAATGCTTTGCATACTGGACTGCCGATTGTTGAAAATATGAGATAAAATATTATTAATTATACACGCAACACCCACATCGCAATCTTCTAATTCTGACACGCATGTGTTTCGCGAGGGACAACAGAAAGAATTTCCTTTTTTTTCTCTCTCTCACTCTTTATTAGCTAATGGCAAGGAGGTTTGTATATTTTGAATTATGTCATCCACAAAAGAACAATTTTGATTGGTTATTACTTTCTGATGATAGTTTCATTTTTTTAGAAATGCAGTTTTGGCAACATCTTTTCATTCATTGCTTTGGATACTGGACTGCTGACAGTTTTCTTTGAAAATATGAGATTTATTGCTTATTTCATTGTAATTTTTTTATATTATGTTTTAATTATATAACAAGTTTTGCATGATGTTTTTCAGGAAACAAAAGTTCTTAACTTTCTTTATACCATTTGAATTCTTAAGATTTTGCAACCGGAAATTGATTAATTTATTTATTAGGAAAATTAATATTTGTGTTAAAGAATATTGCTTATTTCAATGTATTTTTTTTATATATGTAATACACTTTTATTGAATTTTTTATTATTATTATTTGATAAAGTTCTGCAGAGTAAAATTCTGTGTAGTTTTTAAATTTAATGTTTGGTTTTCCCTTTAGGCATTCTTCCAGTATATTTAAAAGCCAGACGAAGTCTGGTCACATAGCGGCTAATTTATAATACATGAGAAAAAAACCCCACAAAAATACTCTTGCAGACAACCGATTAATTCGCTTTCAAATCTAATAATGAGTGCTCAGCAATTTTATCTACTCTACCACTGACTAATTCGTGTAATATCATAGTTTCGCTTTTTCAGTCTAAGATTGTTTGTCCCCCTAGCTCCGATCCTGGCTACATCCATGAGCACACTTATCTGAATTAACTGTTTTAAAAATACATACTTCACAAGGAAAGCAACTGCACTCTCGACGACAATCGCCATGAAACTTTCAAGGACCAAACATGTTAACAAATCAGCAGGTGCAACGCATGGAATTTGACGGTCACCCTAAGTCCCAGAAGAATGCATACAAAGTTGTGTATTTGCCTACAATATTTGTAGCCATAATACATCAATCAGATACGACATTGAGCGACAATACATGCCCCTGATAGGTAACACACAACATACGGCAGTGGCTACTTCTCGATTAGCGCGATACAGAGCACGATCACTTTTGACTGCTAAAAACAGGTGCTGTGAATAATGGGTGGTCCAAAAAATGGGTTAGGCTTGTTGTTTCTACGGTAATAGGCAGCTGTAGACATTCTTTCGGAAGGTGTTCTTATGGCAGACAGATAGCAGCTTGTTACTGCTTTATCAGGATTATATCACAACATGAAAACTTTGCTCTTAACCACATTTGTACAAATTTCGTTTTTTGTTCATGAAACATACTATGCGTGAGGAGAGACATTTTTGATAAAATATTCTACTGTATTCTGGAAATAAGATCTTAGAAAGCAACAACTTTCTCAGAATCCGATTAACTATATGGTCCCCGTTAGTTCTACCCTCGTATTCAAAATTGACTTTTGTGCAATGAATTGCAATTTAAGGTGCAATAAATAATTCAAAAGTACAAAAAATAGGTCGTTTTCTTCCTTGTGATTCTAAATGAGTTTCAAGACATTTACACTACTACTGTTCACTAGGGATGTGCAATGATAACATCTGTGACCATAATTCATAACCCACGAAAATGTGCTTTGTGCATCACCCAATGTTACCACCTTGAAATGCATCCACCATTAAAACATGAAAGCATGATAAATATTTCATCACTACATGCATACAGTACAATTTCAAGTTTTTCATTATAACCCTTCCCAAGTTTAACATAAAATTCAATCTCATCTCTGCCATAGAGTCATTGACACATTATCTTTTCATATCCCAACAAAATATATTAGTTATTCAACCAAATATATTAGTTTAGTCTCACTCTGACTAAATCACAACCATTCAACTGAAAGTTCAAACAAATCGATGCACAGCCTTCACAAAACATTCCACGTTTGTCATCTTTAATGTCAGAAAAAGTGAAACAGAAGCAGTTCCAAAACTTTTCAATTAGCTATCGTGTCTAATATACATAATTTCGATAATAATATTAAAAATTAACAAAACTGATTGATAAGTAACACATCAATGTAAAAAAGAAAGTCCGAGTTTTAGCATATGAGCAACATAGTATACCAGTTTGTGATTTAAGAAGTTCTGTTAGAGAAGAAGTGAAAATGGCACCTAATCAGCAGAGCAATTGTGGCATATTGTAATTTGCAAAATATGAATTGGATGCAAAGTAGATTTGGCTTTAAACAGCTCACCTCTTAAGTTACCAGTTAACCCTTGCAGCTTCTTCCTTTCGAAAAATATAAAAATTCTGGTATTTGTACTCCTAAGCCTTCACAAATTTAAAAACTATTACAGTCAAAAGTCGTTAATCCGGACTCGTCGGGACTTCGGCGATTCCGGATTATCGATTTTTCCGGATTATAGATCATCAGTTTAAATCTGGTAAGATGGCATGCAGAAATTACAAAATTAAAAATACGAACCGTAATTTATGAAATAAAGAACAATTATGATCTAAAGGGTATCAAAATTTACAAAAAGAAAAAGCTTAATATTTATTTGTTTACTTTATTAAACATTTCTTTCAATGTAAGTTATTTAAGTTGCTTCATTTCATGTGAAAATACTTTCTCTTTAATTCTATTAAACAGACATAATTTCTTGTTTAGTTACGAAGTTCCGCTGTTCAAGTCCTATAATTGCTGTGTTGAGAATACCCATTAATTTGTCAATCGAAATGTTTTCGTTTTCAATAACCTCTCTCTCACTTTCTTCACTATCGGAAGCAAATTATAATGGCGAGGAACTTGATTTAAATCATATCAAAGACGGAGTACATCGAGATGAAATACTACATTTAGTAAAAAATTATAAGCCAAATAAAATAAAAACATCTGCCCTGAAGATAAGGATAGTGCTGACAGATCAACTTCCAATTCATTGCGCGCCATGGCGTTTCTCCCCCCCCTGCCGCAAAGCAGCGTGAAATTGATAAACAGATTTCGGATTTCAAAACATACTTTCGTTTTGTAGATCCTTTACATATTACTAAATATATATCGGAAATTCTATTTGACATAATCGAAAGTTCAAGCTTACTTTTATAAAATTGCTCTAACAGTCTACAAAAAATAATAAGCCGGATCCAATTTGAAGATTAAGGAACAACGCAATCTGCAACATTAACTGAATTAGATAATTTTAGCTTAGCTTATACCGTCCTTTATACATTAAACGTATTATGCGTATGCGCACACGCATATTCACAGCCATAAAGGTCTTACGCGCACGCGTAAATGCCTATGCGCATGCGTCAACGAGACGCATGCACAGAAAGTTTGTAGCTTTGAGGTCCGGATTATAGATCATTCCAGATTATGCGTGTCCGAATTAACGACTTTTCACTGTATTTGCTAGAAGAAAATTTAATAAATCGTAACTACTGACACTTTTTTCGGCAGAAATTTCATATCATCCTGAAAAAATATAACTAAAGGAAGTCCAATCAAGCATTTGTAAATAAAAATAAATTTTTAAGCCACTTTTTTACCTTTGAATTTATACAGGATAGTGCACACTGTACCTAGCAAATATAAATAACAATGGAAAGATAAGTATTTGTAGGAACTTCATGTAATTGTGAGATAACTGTACATAGACAAGTATTTAATGCAGAATACAATATGGACAACACAGACATTCATGAACCTTGAAATTAATGCCTTTCTTATGTTGGGATGCACTGTACAGAGTGATGCAAGAAGATTTCCATGATGTGTCTTATCTCATCATGTCGAATAGCATGTACTTCATGGATGATAGCGGTCTTCAGTTGTCAGTCATCCACAAATAATGTCCAAAGATTCTATCCATCACATTTTGGAGGATGGCCAATTCACATAACCAAAGTAAAAATTCAAATGATTTAGAAATGTCTATAGGACTACAGTAATTCTTATGCTTATTTCATGCCATTCTTTCCGAACCAAGTTGTATCCACCAAGAGGCTTTCTCATAATTCTGGCAATCATTATTCTTTCACAGTACCAGATGAGAGTCTGTAATAGCACAATATGTTTAACTGAAGGCATCTATTACTGCAATATGCAATTACACTGGCTAGATTCCTAGGTATCCATGGATGCAAAACTGCAACACATTGCAGCATGTAAATCAAACAGGTAAATACAATATGCAGTTGAAAATGACCTCAAAAGAAAAATATATAAAAAAAAATAGTCAATGCAGTGTGAAATGTTTTTTGATCAATTTTGTGTAAATATGCAATGTTTTATAACTACAATTTTTGTGTTCACAATACAACAATTATTTGAAATAAAAGTGTTTCCTTGTAATATATATTTCAAGCACAATTAGCTGAAACTTTGTCTAGGGAAGCTTGGCTCAGATTAGAATCTTTGGAAGAAAAAAGGTAAGTGAAATCTTTTTTCTTAGTTTAGAATTTTGAACTGAAAATGTCAAGAAATTTATAACTAACTTTCTTATAGTTTTCAAGACATGCACCACCTTGCATGTTACTTACGATGTTATTATATGTTACTTACGATACTAGTCATTTAAACTCAGACTTACTTACATAAAAGTGCAAATTTGAATGATTCTTTCTGAATTAATCTACACATTTACACATAAATTCAAAATTAAAATGCATTATAAAATCTTAAATATATCTGTCATGACTGAGTAAATCATCAAAGAAGTAATGCGAGTTTTGCAGTTATACTTTTTCATAAAAATTTTATTCACATTCATATTTTTTTATTTATAATTTGTTTCAGGATGAAACCTTGCATGGAAATACATCAGATGCTAGCTGATATTGGCCCAAGGTTTCTTTTGACAACCTTATTTAAAACAATATTTACAACAAATGAAGTAATATACAACTGAAAAATAAAATATTAAGGCACAAGAAAGTAGATTTTGGAGCAGAATTACAATAAAAAGAAACTGGTATATTATAGGATGTTATAAAAATTGAACAATGGAATTCAAAGAATGTTTTAAGCATTATCATTTAAAATAAAATTACATTCAGCTTGAAAGTTGGGAAGATACAAATCTTATTGGGATACATACAGCAAATATGAAGTAGTGCACTGTTGTATGCATTATTTAATCTTGTCTTGCATATAATGGGATTATAAATTTTGATCCAAATGGCGAGGAATATACACAATCCAAACTGGAAAATATTCCTTTAGGAAGTCCTATATCACAAATATGAACACTGCATTTTTCATTTTTGAATGCAAATGGTAATGCTGGAGCTAATATAAACTTTTGCTCTATGGAATTATAATCAGGAGGAGGATCAAGACAAAGAATTGGAGCTTTGGAATGTTTTGCCCATTCCTGTACTTCTTGCATCCAGATTTTACAACATTTTATATCTTCATATGAATCCACTGCTTCAATAATAATATCAACAGTTGAAGGCAAACCTAAAAAGACAAAAATAACCTATTTAGCTTCTTATGAATATTAAATTGTGAAAAATTTATATGCAGAAAAAATAAATATAGCAAAAATAAGTCATATACATTAGAGAGAAAAAAAATGCATCCTATAAAAATCACATTCCTTTAAAAGAACGTAAAAAAATAACTTTTGATTTACAGCTGAAGCCTAAACTTCAAGACTGATGTAAATTAATAAATAGTGTAAAAATTCACTAAAGGAAATCTTCAAAATTACTAAAAATAAACTAATGACAGGAGTATTAACCACAAAAATAAAAATATTTCAAGTTGTTTAAAAATTCAGCACCCCCCCCCCAGTGAACTAAATACGAGTATAATAATAAATCATCCTAAACATTTTTTCCAGTACCCATAAATATCTCCACCTGTAAATATTAGTGATATAACCTGTAAAGTCCACCTGTAAAAATAAGTTACCTGCATAACATTAAATATAAGACATTTTCGAACATATACTTTCAACAATTTCATGAAAACTTTACACAATTTACCTTTAATGACTATATGATATGGAGTGACAAAAAGTAATTAAAAGGATAAAGAATCAGCAGAAAGTCAAATATGGGAATGAGTTTTAAAATCAGTTTTATCTTATACATTGATTTATTAGAATAATGCAGGAAGAAAAAACATACCAGAAAATTCAGATACTGTTTTTCCACCACTTAAATTAAAAAGCTTCAATTCATTCAAGAAATTAGATGGTACATCTACAACGATTGCAGGTTTTAGGACCGTTACATTAACACAATGATTGGCAAGATGACGTCCACAGTTCACACCCTGAGTACCCTGAAGATGAGGTCCACACAATACAACCACAGTGGGCTTTTGATGACTATTTTGGGGATTTAACCTATTTAAGAGATAAAAATATTAACCAACCAGTAATCTGATTTTAAAATATACTTTGATTGGATATATATATTAAAATTAATTTGTAACATACAATTTTAAAATTAAATTTCCTGTTCGATTTAATGATACCATGTCTAAAAATAAAATAATATCCTAAGCTGAATGTTTTAACATTAGCAATAAATTCTAGGTTGGTGAAACATTTTCCTAGATTTTGAATTTTACCAATATTAATGCACTTTAAAAGTGCTGCACATTTATTGGCTTCATCTATAATATGATATATATGTCATTTATACAGGGTATCCCGTAAATGTTGCCACAAACTTCTGAGGGAGGTAGGGTACATCATAAGGATTAAGAATTGCATAGGAACCCATGCCCAGAAATGTCAGGGGTAAGTGGTAGCTGAGTTAGAAGGTGGGAAAGGAAACAAGAGATTTATTAATTTAAAACATTTATTAGACATGAATACAAATGGTGTACGGCAGCTTGAATGATACAACATATGCTCGAAGTTTTCACTATCAGACACCAAACATGCCTGACACTGACAGACCATTGACTGCTGCACATATTCAACCACAATGGGAGTTTCTTTGATTGTAGCAGCAGTGCGCATCTTTCTGAGAGATCCATTTCAGACACAATAGGATCGTGATACACGACACTTTTGATGGCACCCCTCAAAAAGAAATCAAGGCTCAATAAATAAGCTGAGCGTGAAGGCCAGAAAACCAGTCCACTACACCCTATCCATTGATAAGGGAATGATCTGTTCAAATGGCTACGAACATCCAGTCCAAAATGAGCAGGTACCCCATCATGTTGGAACCACATGTTCACAAGCTCTCCATATTGTATAATGCTCCATGCTCTTTGTATGGTGCCTACCGTTCGAATGAGACAATCCTCACTTGTCACTAGCACTCTCCTGTACAACATCCCCTGGTGGCGTACAATGATGTTTCTGGTTTCATAAAGAACTGCATAGGGGTTCCTGTGCAATTCTTAATCCTTATAATGTGCCCTACCTCCCCCAGAAATTTGACGCAACATTTACAGAACATCCTGTATATTTATAGTTTTATTTAATACCTCACAGCTTCGCATTTTAGTTAAGTAGTTAAATGTTCACTGAAATTTTCTGAATCAAACATATAAAAAGCTAAAAATTTTATAATAATGTATTCAGAAATTTCATATCTTAGCATTTGTTGGAAAATGGGTAGTAAATAAATAGCGATTGGTAACAGATATTCCATTGAAAACATCGACTGAAGTTGTGCAATAATACACATGACTTTTCACTCACAAAATTCCTGAAATTCTTGTGGGGGGAGGGAGAAAGAAAGTACCTAAAGCTGCTTTATTGCAATAAAGTTTTATGACTAACATACTCACACTTATTGGTATGGTATTGATATTGTTTACATTTTACTATCAACTTTATGTGATGCATAATGTCTCTTCATTGCTTATTTGCCTACAAAGAGAATCTATTAAATAATGGCCAGGGATTTCTCAATTTCATTTTTTTCAGCAAAAAATCACTGCCTTATTTTCAACCTGATCTCAAAAGCAACTGGATTTAGAAAAAATAAAAGCAAATGGTAATTATAAAAGGTTACTACACAACAGAACCTTAGAAAAAATATAGAATAATATTGTTATGTAATACAAAAAAGATTTATGCAGACACGACTTTCTATGCATGGCCAAAGAAATTCCTTTTGCAAAATTATACACATTTTTTTCATGTACTTCATTTAAACTTATTTCATCAACTTATTCTTAGTTAATAGATTCCTCAAGGCAAGTTGAAAATGATATCCAAAAACTGCAGATTTTGAAATTAAATATCCCAGTCAATTTTTGTCATATGGAAGTCAAACTTTTATAATTTTATTTTTTTAACAAGTATAAAACTTTCCAAAATATAAATATAGGAACCAGAAGACTGCATTAAAAGTTAGATTTCATTATTGTCCAAAATCGTTTTTTTTTTTTCTTAAATTTGATACTGCCAAAACATGTGAACGCTTTCATAATTTAAAACAATTCTGTGATTGGAAGTATATGACTAAGACCAATGATTGCAAAAATAAAGGACTCTTAAGCTGGATAAGAGAACAGCTATATATAAATCCACACACCTTTGGCACTGCTGATTATGATAAAAAAAGGATTACAATAAAAAAGGGGAGGTATACAACTAGGAGTTATAGCAGTCCCATATACAAAATTTCAATGTTTTATGGCTAGTCGCTTTTGAATTATGCGAGGTACATATATATATATATATATATATATATATATATATATAAATGTAGTAAGCTCGCATAAAAGTTACCAAGAGCTGTTGCTCCAAAAAGTTCATCACATTTTAAAAAATTAATACATATGAAAATCAAACCATTAAACATGTAAAACATTAAAAAAAAAAAACAGAATCAGATAAAAAGGTAAGCGGAAAATGGTAAATTAGCCCAACTCGACTTCCAAACTGGCTTTTCAAGGGAAATTTCATTATTTGAACGTCGAATCAAGCTAACCCCATTACGCGTTTCGCCGAAACAGACAATTGAAACTTTTTCGCTACAAAAATTTTTTTAAATTTAGACAAAGTGTCTTTTTTATCTGATTCTGTTTTCTTTCTTTCTTTTTTTTTTTTTTTAATGTTTTACATGTTTAATGGTTTGATTTTCATATGTATTAATTTTTTAAAACGTGTTGAACTTTTTGGAGCAACAGCTCTTGGTAACTTTTATGCGAGCTTACTACATTTTTTTTTATATTTTACTTATTTTGAAGCATATTGCGCAAGATGTTTTCTAGACCAAAATTAGTTTTTCAAAATTGTAATTACTACCTTGCTTGATATATATATATATATATATATATATACATACAGATGTCATCAAAAATGCATTCTGAATCTACTTTACAATCCATTTTGTAATAAAAAGCCTTTTATTCTGTTCATGTGTACAGAGTCATGCAAAATATAATCAAAATTGATATTTCCATCGAAATTTGATACATGAAATTTTTCACAATTAAAATACTTCTTTTAATTCATACAAGAAAGTAACATGAAAATAAACATTTAATGACACTTCAAGTACGAAATAAGGTGGCACATAATGAAACTTTAAAACTTAGAAAGACATTTCTGCCAAGCTGTGTGTCAAAATACTGCATCAATTTTGCCAAGCTGTGAAAAACGCCTAAAATTCCATTCAAGATTACTATTATTTTGTCACTCCCTTTCATTAATGAATGAAGAGGTTTTAAGCTTTCGAATTATTATTATTTCTTGTTCTTTTCAAAAGAACTTCCATTAGCAGCCCTTGTGCATACTTGGTACTGTTTGGTAAATAAAATCTGAAGGTCAGATTACAGAAACAAGAAAAGGTATGAAAACTGATCTGCTGTAAAATTTACACTGCTGGTTATTAAAATTGCAACAGCAGGAAGGAATGATGTGAAAAACGTCAAAAATCACACGAAAGGGAGAAGAGGTTGGGATATGCAAATGATTAATATTTCAGCGCATTTAGACCATGCAGGAGGGAGAAACGTCATCTGAAGCACTGCATAAAAGAAAAGTTGTGTATTGGATTTCTCATTCAGAAAGCGCTTTGTAAGATCGGAGTTGGTTCTGAATATTGCATTATGCTTTGAATAATAATAAGAAATGCTTATCAGCAAGTGTTGGAACTCAATAGAGGCAGGATCATTGCTTATCGAGAGTGTCAATTATCGGTCCGTGATATGGCTCATCAGACTGGTCAACATCCAACCACTGTCATGCAAATATGGAATCAAAGGATTGCTGAGAGTCATACTGAATGGCATACAGTATCTGAACACCCTCCCATGACTAATGCCCGAGAGCACAGACATATTGCGAGGTCAGCCCCGCAACACGTACAGCCACATCACAGACCATTAGTCAGGAAATGCGCATGTTTGCAGCACACCCAGTATCTGCTCATATGGTGCATCGACGTTTATAGCACCATGGACTATCAGCACAGCAACCATTACTTCAACTTCCCTTGACAATGCAGCATAAGGAGAGATGGTGACTCTGGTGCACCAAACAACAATGCTGGATACATAAGTGGCATAATGCTGTCTTTTCAGATGAGTTCTGGTTCAGCATGCAATACTCTGATGGCCGTATACACGTCTGGAGGCTCCTAGGAGACCTCATGTTCGCCTGCCTGCAATTGACATCAGCATAGGTGTCCTGCACCTGGTGTGATGGTTTGGGCAGCCATTGGATACATGACAAGCACATCTCTAGTTAGGATCGAAAGTAATTTGAATGCAGATCAGTACATTTCTGATATCTTCCATCCAGTGGTTGTGTCCTATCGTGAAGGCCTGCCAAACACCATCTTCCAACATGAACCTTTATGCAAGACTGCATGTTGTGTTCTGACATTCTACAATACACAGTGTATTCGATTGTTACCCTGGCCTGCACGTTCTCCAGATCTGTCACCAACTGAAAACATCTGGTCTTGTGTTTCTGAGAGATTGGCCTGCAACCCCTCTCCAGCTACTAAGGTCGATGAAGAGTGGCATAGACTTGAAGCAGCATGGAACGAGTTGCTTGTTTCTGTTCACCTCCATGCCTAACCGGGTAATGGCCGTTTTAGCCGTAGGGGGTGGCAGCTGTTTTTAATAATTTCGCACCCCTGTATACCCCCCAAACTGCTTACAAATTCATTCATTTTATCTTAATGCCATACTGTTTACGTACAATAAATATCTTTTTTGTATTTGCATCCCTTCATGGTGTTGCAATTTTAATGGCGAGCAGTGTATTTTAGTATTAATACATATTTTGATTTGAAAAGTTGTACCTAAAATATATATTTTATCATCATTCACAATTGGATATATTGAAATAACATTCTATTTAATATTTTATTTCTGAAAACTTTAATTGTCAACACTAGACTTTTTAATCGTGGTTTCTTC